TACAATGATGCTCTAATGAATGGGAAAGATCCTTGGAGACAACTAGAGTTATCACAGTAATGAGGAGAAGCAGATGAAGGGAGGTGTCATAAAAGTAAATCCCATAATATTTCTGAAGTACTCAACTATTGCAGCAATGAGCACTGTGGAAAAGCCCATAGAGGCCTAGATACTTTTGTATCTAAGGATCAGTATATGACAAGTGATACAGCATCACATATTGAACATTGGGGATAAAATTAAATATGAGAGATGTGAGACAGGAATCTCCTGGATCTCAACCTTTCTCCTGCTGTACCAATACATTTATATGTATTCATATAAATCTGTGTCATAAACTAATTGGGCTTTAGCTGAAAACTGGCTAGATTTCCTAACTGATGGCATGAATCTCATGTAAGCCTCTGTTTCTCACACCTTGCTTTCAAGCTCCCTCCACCTGGATTGCCACCTCCAAATCTAGAAAGCTAAAGCATTTTTTTTCTCAGATGCGCCTAGTAGTCAGATATCCTAAAGCTTCCAAGGTCCTGAAGGCGCTAAAAGGACTTTAACAGCCCTGCCCAGCCCCACCTGGGACTCCTACCCACACTCCCTGTCCATTGGCCTGGGGGCTCCATTTAGGCTCAGCCCTGGACTATCAGTCCCTGGTTGAGCTGTGCTGTAGATGTGCCTGTCTGTATCCCTGCCTCCTGATGGACCTTGGCCTATGCTGTAGGTAGCCTCCCTCCTGGTGCATCCCCTCACATGTGTTGTAGCTTGTCTCTCATTCTGCTTCCTGCATGGACTTTGAACCCATCTTGTGAGCTCGTTTCTGGGCCCGTCTCTTGCTGCTCCTGAATTGCCCCTGGTCCATCCCCTTGCTGTGTCTGGGGCTGTCAATGGACTGTGGTACTAGCTCCCTGCTCCACCCACTGCGCTCAGGATGGTGCCCCCTCAGTAAGGGCACAGCCTGTGACATAGTAACCCTCAGCTTATAGCTCTTCAACCCTTAAAGAGCAACTGGTCCTTGCTGCTCCCTGACAATCATCTCCTTAATCACCATTACCTTGTCGTAACTGACTCTGCTCTCTAGGGCATAGAAAAACATCAGAGTAGTCCCCTTGAACCTGTACTTCTCTGTCTGTTTTCTCTACCTTGGCATGATCATCTTTGTGTTGCAGTGAGATCCAGTACATCCTGAGGTCCTGCATTTGGTAGAGAGCACAACCTTCTAGTTTTTTTGGACCCACTTTTGTGAGAGAGGTGTGGACTTACTTCAGCAGTGAATAACAAGTCAGGGACATGCCTGCTCTCTTCATGTTGGTGTTGAGTGTGACTCTCACATTCCCCCTTCCCTAAGCAGATATCCCATTTCCTATTTTATCTGACAGCTTCCTGTATTTCATTCTTGTTCCTTCCTGGACTTTGGTCTCTGGCTACCTCTCTTATCTCTTCCTCTCTAACAGAACAAATTGTTTGTCTCGTTACTTGCAGCCACCTCACCTACCCTTATTTTACATCATACTTAAGTATAACAGGTCTCTTCCACAACTCGGTTTCTCCCGCGTTAACCAGTCTTTCTGCAATGGCCACTTACATCCATGAATCGCCTTTCTTGCGTGTGTTCCACTCGAGCTGTTTGTCTGCTCTCTTCTGCCTAACTCCTTTCTATACTTGTCACCTTATCTTGGACTCTCTTCCTTAGCTGGTTTCACCTATGAATGCTGTCTATGAGATTACTCCCCATGGGAAAAAAAAAAATCTTCCATGAGATACCCATCATAACACACATGGCAGACTTGTGTTCTATTATGCTTTACCTCTGCCCCATACCCATCAATTCTCTTTCCCTTGTTCTTAAACCTATACAAAAAAGGTTAGTCCTCAGATCCAACACTTTCTAAAAAAAGTTCCATGCCAGCTCTGCTGTTTACTTCTGCCTGCTCACTGGCTCCCGTGGCTGTTTGGCTTTTCAACCCTTTTGTCCAAGCCAGCCATCCTTCCACACGTATTTGGTAAACTGTTCAATAGCAGGGATCACAGGCAGGAAGCTTCCTTTATGCTTCTGTCCTACTCACAACATGCCATTCCTAGATAACCTCCACAAACTACAGTTTGCAACAAACCAGTGGGCAATGAGCAAACTAACACATCTACTTACCTCCAAAGAACAACTGGACTCTTCCTTTCTCGCTGAATTTTCCTGTTTACTTTCTGAATAATTGTTCATGAGTGTTCACACCATCTGTGCTGTGCACTGTATGCACAGGGTCCCATGGAATAATGAATATTTGATCATGTCATTCAAGGCTAAAACAAGATTGCATGGTTTAATTCTGCCATTTCCCAACAGTACAATCTCAGCATTTCTTTAATGTAATTTTTTTTCTATATTGAATGCACAGTTTGTGTATGTATTTCTAAAAACCCAATTGGCCAACTGACAAATTTTGCATTGAAATACACTGGCATTTTCCCAAGAAGTGACTGGATCCAAAATTTTGGTTCTGATCCATTTTGGAATGAGCTGTAAAGTTCAGATAGTGTCTGAAGTTTGGGGATGTTAAAATCTATGGTTCTGGGTCAGGCTCATTTTTATCTTTTCTCACTCCTGGTCCTTTTCTGTGTTCTATTGCTTCTGAAAAGCAGTCACTGTGTCCACAGAGGGCAACTTATAAGCCTTAAGAGCCAAACCCAAACAGGGAGAAGCCCGACAGCGTTGCTTATTAGTATTTTTGTCTTTGTCTCTGTAATTTGTCATCCTATTTAGTGCTTTGAACATGGATGACTTTCTTGTACAAAGGTCTGGAGAGGCATCACATAATGTGCTATATGCTGTATCCTCCTGAGGTTTACTGGTGCTGAGCTCTGACAGAAATGCATACCCTGAAGTCTGTGCTCAGTCTTCCGTGAGGAGGCAGCCAACCGCTCTGTGCAGCAGCAAATCTGCCAGCTGGCCGTAGAGGGGCGATGGCATCAGCTGCAGCCTATCCCCTTTGCTAGCTACATGACATATCTGGTCTGGGAGGATTAGAAATCAGGGGAGTGGAGAGCAAATTGCTGCAGGGACATGAGCTGGGGGGCAGGGGAGCGCATTCACGTAACTGCTCTTTTGAACATTTCTCTCTTGATCCCGAGCTACCTGCTACGTGAGATGGGGGAAGGGGGGGACTGCAAAGGGAGAGTGACTTTCAGGAAAGACTATGGAGAAACATAACTCACATTAGTAGTGAGATTAAAGGATTAGATTCAATTCACACCCCAGTCAAACTAAAATTTCAGCCTCTGCTTTTTGTGTAACGTGCAGTGGGCCAGAACTGTGACTGTGGTTACAGAGCTTAACATCCTCAACAGCGCATGGCAGGAGAAGGATCCAGTCCCTGATTTCTGTGCCTTTCCTGCTCTAGTGCAAGTGTCTCCTTGCATGTGAAACACATACCACTAATTAGCAGCTTCTCTTGTGATGAGTGTAGAACATGAACTATGGTACCACTTTTCCCTTTCTTCCACTCTCTATGCTGGATATTTCCCCAAATAATTTCTCCAGGAAACCCTTTCTCTGAGTCATTGCAAACAGATATTGGAATCCTATTGCTTAATTAACCCCACCAAAATCCACAACATAGAAACCCTCCTCTAAAGTACTTCTTGGATGTGGATATTGATATTCTTGATATTATGGAATCTTGTGTACCAAATCAGTCTATAGTGGAACTGGCTATGATATTCCTGGTGTGTGAAATGACTTGAGAACAGAACCAGTTTCAATAGTAACTTTCTGTTTGAAGGCTGGACTAGCTTAGTTTCCAAGGTCAGGCTTCTGGTGTGAATACTTGATTCCAAAACTGACATATATTAGAATATTTCCATGATTAAAAATCATTATTGTGTTCCAATGAAGGCAAAAATACAGAGGAAGCAAGTTCTTATTTCAAGTAATTTTTCAAGCAAATAGTCACAGAGAGGACTCTACTATTCAGTCAGTTTTAGTCATGACTTTTTCCACTTCTTTCTTTATTTCCCCCTCAAATGTTTTGTAAACCGTTATGTCCTAGCTCAGGTGGGTTTATGCTTAGTGCTTGTAGATCAGCCCCATTCTTCAACCATGCCAGCTTTTGCTCATTTTTGTTGAACATCTTCCAATTTCTCATTTATCTGGTGATAAGATGTTCAAAACTGAACACAGCATTGTAGGTACGATTCCCTATGCACCTGGAGTTACAGTGCTCTTAGTTACACAGCCCAAAATTTTACTGGGCCTTTTCTGCTAAGCTATTTCACATATATATATATTTATATTTAAGTTGGTAGGTTGGTGCCTGCTGTACCCAAGTCTCTTCAAACATCAATGCCTTCCTCTCACAGAATGTGTGGATTGGATTGTTTTTCTGTGGGTATACTGGTTGGTATTTTTCCAGGTTTAATATTTTTCCTACATTTTTAACTGTGCTAGGAGGTCCAGGATTACTTGCTCATTCTTCTAACAATCTATAATTTGATGATTCATGGTGATTTCATTGCCCTATATTTACTCTCTCTTCCAGACCACTGTTAATGTCAGGTAAGACAGGGTCCAGCATCCTCAGTTAGATTGTGCTTTCCTGGGACTCAGCTCTGCCAGCCAAGAGTGTATTTGACACTGCCTGGAGGTGATTGCCTGCTTAGGCTCTTTGCAAGCTCTTACCCTGAACTTGTGAATCAAAAAGTAAACTGTGCCAGCTTACCCAATTTAAATAGTCTAGAAGCTGTTCATCAATTTAGTAGTGAAATAGCCAACTGGAGAGTTAAAAAGAAGTTGTTGCCACATGCATTTAAACTGGAAGACGGAGAAAAGTCTACATCATTAGTGACTGTGTGAAGAGATAAAGCTACACATTTAAGCTCCAGGCTCTGTGGTTTCCTGAGAGAGCCAGCCAGCTGTGTGGGAGTTGTGCAGAAGTCCCACCTCCTCATGAGCCTGTTGGGCACTCCACCATGTTCTTGCTTGTAGCTATTTGAATGTATTCTCTTCCCCCTGACAGGTCCATGGGAAGTGTGTATGTAGACACAACACAGCAGGGGACCACTGTGAGAAATGTGCACCGCTATACAATGATCAGCCTTGGAAGCCAGGAGATGGAAAAACAGGGGCACCAAATGAATGCAGAAGTAAGTGGGAGGGAGGTCACTGATCCAGGCTTTCAGGATGAGCACTTGCTGTGCCAGCAGGCAAAGTTCCCCAACAAAGACTTCTGTCAATTTACACTAATGGTGCCATTACAGCAACTGGCGATAAGTTGCTGGTCATTGATGCAAAACTTCAGTATGCATGTTGTTTTACTGTAGCTGATCCATTTGGGCTATTGGGAAGTGGAATTTACAAGGCAGAAATCTGTTCTTCATGCAGCTCCGTCCCATGTTTTAGCGTTCCAGGGTTTTGTGTGGGGCTTATGATACCATCAGATTGGTTCGATTTACTGTAAGAATACCACACAGCTCACAACCACCCAAGCTTCTCAGAGCCTGCTGGGACTCTCACTCTGTGTTGCAATTTCTAGTTTTTATGAAAATCAAGGATTGCACGCAGATGTAATGTGTTACATTCAGATATTTCCTCCATGATTCACAGTAGGAAAATAATAACATTTGAATAGTATTGTTGTGTCTATTATATAAGCCTGAAATATATTCTGTTTACCACCAGAGTGTCGCTGTCACAACCACGCTGACAGCTGCCATTTTGATCTGAGTGTTTGGCTGGCATCAGGAAAGCGCAGTGGTGGAGTCTGTGACAACTGCAAGCATAACACAGAGGGACATCGGTGTCAAAGGTGCAAACCAGGATATTACCGAGATAGAGGGAAACCCATGTCTTCTGCAGAGGTCTGCAAACGTGAGTGACTACTGTAACATGCAGTGAAGACAAATGAATGGTGGAAGAATCATTAAAAGAATGATTAAAAGAAAGCAATTAATAACTCCTATAGAAGTAACTCATGAGTATTACTACCCTTCCTTTGTATTTTTTTCCTAAACTACAGTTGTCTGATCAAAGGTCATCCTCCTGATTTTCTGTGTCTATTTCTCCCCCTGGTATCACACATTTTTTTTGTGGTAACCGCTACAGTTCTCCAAATGCATTGCATTCTGGGGAAAGGTACCTTCTTCTTGTGCTTGCATTTAAAATACTATGGTTCCTTTTTTCTTGAGGCACATTTTATTTAGCTGGTTTTTTTCTGCATCTCTCAAGACTGTGTGTGCCTATGTGTAAGCTATTGTTAAATTCCATTTGATTGTGCAACATCTGTGCACATAAATATATATAATAATGGCTGGAGGAGGTGTAGGAAGCATGAGACCACACATATCCACTTGGGAACAAATAGATCAGAGCTCACTCAGACTTATCTCTGGATCCTACAGCTGTATTATGGGGTGCTCTGCCAAAATTAATTGCCTCATTAACACTTCAGCAGGATGTGTTAGGAAGTAACTCGGGCATAGAGGCACTAATGGTTGTACGCAAGAGGGTGTACAACCTCTGGATCAAGGTAGTTTGCACCCAGCCAGTCTGGAACATAGCCCAGATCTCCCTTACTTAGTGTAAACATTTCCTGAGTATCCTGCCAGGCTTCGCACATCTGATTCCATCTGGCATCTATTTGGGAGGTTGCTATTTCCAACAATATACATAATTTCATTTCTTCCTTTGGATAGTTTTCCTTCCCCATAGCTCAGACATCAGTTGCCAGCACAGAGAATGTCATCCTCTGTCATCTATACTCATGCCCACTGGCATCATGTGCTTTTGAAGCTTTTCTGACACTTTGATGTTCTTCATCAAGATTCCTCTTAAACACTCAGGTTACAAACACTCCTCTCCCTAGGACTGTATGGCTTGCAATATTGCTTAAACTTTCTGTGCGCAACACATCCTGCCAGCACAGACTGCTTCCGCAGACCCCTTCTTTTCGATTTCACAACGTTCATCGCAGAACACTGATCAGCAGACCGGGAGGGGGCTGAGCTTATCTAACTTGCTCTGTATTCCATAGTGTTCTATGGTGGCCTCTTTCTAGTCCTGTTTCTACTCTGAGTAGATTTGCTACAGGGAAATATTGTAATTAGAATAAATTGTTGTGCCAGAAGATTAGTTTTCAATCTCATAGTACCTGAAAGATCTGTGTATGAACTCTTGTATTTAACAGCAGGGTGATGGTGTAGTAACCAACATCATGTGTAATATTAGATAACGGCTAAAGTCAAGGAGCACTGGAGAGCGGTGGAGAGGAAAAAACATTGTTTGAAAATACAGACTATCTGTGTGGAAACCCTGGAACAGTCTGCCTGGATGAAATCAGACCTTGACTCTACTTCTGCCTCTTTTGTCTGGTCTGGTTACAGGCCTCTCAGTACCTCCTGCCAATACTCTGCATAGCAAAAGAAAAACTGTTCAGAAATTTACCTTGTTAAAAGAGCTTTATTCCTATCATGCCAGTCAAGCACAATAATGTTCCTTTTCACCTGGGAACATGCTGTTGCCAGCAGAAGGCTCCCAAATGCAATTGTTTCCACTCTGACTTGCACACTCAGGCCTAGATTAGCTACCATCCTGCTTTAGCCACCTGAAAGTTATATGTCTTTTCTGGGCTCCCTGTACAGTCAGTGGAGAAACAGTGAGACCTCTAGGGAATGATTTATTAAGTCTAATGTAAATGCCTGAGGTAGATGAGCTGAATTGCCCTCTAGAGGATATCCATTTCTCTTCCTTGACTTACTTAAGAGGTATTCTGGATCACTAGCCTGCACTGGTGTTTCTGTTGGTTGAGATGAATCTAATTGGTTTGATACAGCATTATTGCAAATAGGTAAGCGTGACCCTATCTGTACATGATTCAAGACAATGGGACCTTTCACAGGCATGTAAAGGCACGCATGATGCTTGCCATATCAAGATACAAGGAAAGGGTATTGCAGCTCACTCTAGAGAGCCTCAGCTTTTGCAGCAGACTGATGTGTGCACGATGCTTGTGTGGACATAGAAGGGACACTGCAGATATAACTACAGAGTTAAGAGAAACCTGGGAGGAGGGTGGTTAGTCTGTGCCTTTTCTCTTTTTATCGAGGGTGAGGAGGAGAATTCCCACAATGACATTTGACAAATTACCTTAATAGGGTAGTGTTTTGTATGATGGAAGAACTGATCCCCAAACACTTCCCCATGTGGTTTGCAGGCAGTGCGTAAGTGTGCACTTCATGTTATGCTGTACCGCTGCAGAGAATTTTCAGGGAACGTTTCACTACTTTGGTTATACCAGTGACAGCAAAACCAGAAACACCAGTGCAGTCAGGCAAAGTTGTTTTGGTTAGAACAGACTCAGTTTGATAGAGGGAAGATTTCACCTCCAGGACCATCATCAGCTCCTATCAGCCTAGAGCTGATATGAAACTGAAAGGCCTCATGCAGGATGTAAGATAGAGGCCCTCTTGTCCATCCTTCAGGTTGCAAACCTTGCATTGCTATTAATCTGGTGTGGTCTGAGTAAATTGTTCAGGTTATGTGACCCTAAACCCAACTCTGGTTACTCAGTAAAAAACAGTGTTTTGAGCATTGCTAAATATGTAAGAAATTAGACAATTAGTCCACCAGGTACATTTCTGTCATACTGCAGCCTGCTGATCATAAATTGAAGAGCTGCCACTTCTGGATTAGCATGTTTGTGAGGATTTAAATGTACCAATTCCAAGGCATCATCTCACTTTGAGAAAACCACGCAAACCATGCCAGACTAACAACACTAAATGAAAAACCCACCCACTGGGCAAGTGCTGAAAAGCAGTAATAAACTGCAAACAGCAGACTGAATGGACGGTTTTGGTGAGAGCAACCTGGTCCTCAGCTTCCCATTTTGAACTCAGAGGGGAAAAAAAAAAACCAACCCTCAATGGGAGATCAAAACTTGACCCTTGTGTACAGTAGATACTGAGCTGGGAAAGAAAATCTGATGAAAAAGCTGAATGAAATGCTGTGCTAATCCCTTTGAGAAAGCACGCTTGAAGAGTGCTCTGCCATCCAGAGCAAAGTCTAGGTTCAGCTGTGACATCCCCCTCAGGCTCCCAGAAAGTTAACAGGACACTGCCCAGGCCCAGAAAGAGTCTTTAAGCATTAGTCATAATAATGAACAGCATTCTCTCTTAATCACTGCTAGGAAAAAAAAGTTGTATAACAATTGGATGTCCTGGCACTATCCAAACCACCCTTTGCTGACCTTCCAATGTGAGACTGCAAAGACATTCCCTTGAAAAAAAAAAAATCTGTTGAAATTTGACATGTAAGTGTGAATCTGCTATTCCTTTTTGTCTGCAGAGGTAGCCTGCCTCTGATCCCTTTGCTTCTCCTGTTCCTAGCAGCTGGGGATGAATGAGAGCCAGGTTGTGTGCAGAGCCTTGTTTTGACACTGCTTAGATCTATATTAAAAAAAGAAAGGAAGGCATGAAAAAAGCCCCAGAGCAAGGCACACACCTGCCTGTTATTGGGGGTGACAACACAGGATTAAGCAGTTTGGATATAGACTTGTATGGGAGCTTTGACTCGGAAGCCTAATCGTTTCCTAACCAATGGTTAGAAAAGCTGCTGTATCCTTGGCTCTTTCCTGTGGCTTATTTGGAGGCTTAAGGGATCCTTCTGAAATGGCACCATCTTTTGTACTCACCCTTTGCTTAGCTTAAAAAATAATGCAGGCATGTAGACCCATTAAAAAGAGTCTCCAGGAAAACAAGCTGTTTTACTCTAAGCACAAGGGTTGAAAATGAAAATGTGCCCAGATGCACATGCACACACACACACACTCTGAAAAGCTCTGCTTCTCATCCTTTTACTTCTGAGCAGACGGAGTGAACTTTTAATTGTAGTATCACAAAGGCCTGATCACATCTTGGTTCAAAGTCTGTCTTAATCAGCCCTGACCACACACACAGCTGTCTATCTTATTTCCTTCATTTAAGAAACATCATTGGCTGAGTCAATCCCCACATGTGACATGCTTTAAAAATTGCCCTGATTTGGTTATATGCTCCAAAGATGCACATGTATGTATTTCAGATTCAAAAGGCTTTGTTTGATTTTTTCATTTTGCCTGTTTTTCATCAAACACCCAGAGTCTGCTCATAGCTATATCTTATGCAGTATTATTAGACAGAAGTTTAAGGCAAGATACCTCAAAGTCCACTGAATTACTTGGAGCACTTGTTATTTTCCTGTAAGTTGGGACCATATTGTTACAACCAATATTATATTTTACATCTGTGTCTAATTACATGGGAAAGACAGCTGTGCTGAAGGCAGACAGATTTACTGAGGACTTGAGTGGAGACTGCTGTATGAATTATTCATTTTTCATTATTCCTTGTCTCCTCCTTTTTACAGTAGTTTCTGACAAAACAAACTTAGTATAGGAGTGAGACTAAAAGGCAAGAGGATACTTTGTGACACTTCGTGACTGATAGCCAATTCTAAAGTACAATGATGAAATTTTTCATTACACTCTGTCAAGGGGAGAACCCAAATAAACCAGCCTTCTCTGAACCAGAACTGTCTGCACACCGTCCCTAACATAATTGATGATGCCTTTGACAAACAAAGCCATTGTCATGTCGGCTGGTGTTTTGTTAGACAGGGAGGCGGATGGAGAGAAAACTAGATTTTGCCAAGAGAAAAGAAGGAAAAATCAGCAGGGAAAGATGCTGTGTTGTCAAATATTGGGAAATATAAAAGGGTGAGGTTTTGGAAACTTGCCTTTATGTTTCTTTAATTGTGAGGTTTATCTGCAAATCTGTGGTACTATTAAACAGATAAAACCCAGTCATCAACAGCTGCCCCTTCAGCATGTGACATGTGGGCTCTTATTTTGGGAGTTACCTTAGATGCACAACTGGGATTTTGGCCGTAATACTCTGGAAGCCAGACAATGTACACACCCAAGCTGAAATGCTAAATAAACACAGACTGAGTAAAGCGTTCACAAGCCACTTGTATAACTCATCTGAAAGTGTTGTACATTTATTGATTCAGCTTGCTTTCTGATCCACCAGAAACTGGCCCAGTTTCTAATTGGGGAATATGCCCCACAGTTCATTTGGTAACATTAGTTTTCCTGAACCGCAGCCCCAAAATGAGAAAAACAAAACACTTTTTTCCTACCTACTCATCAGCTTCTGCCAATGCTGTCCGTCACTATACTGTAATACTTTCCCTTAGGGATAGGATGGGAGAAGGTCTCATCTTCCTGAATCAGGATCTAGTCTCAGTTGGTGATAGGCAGTCTAATGATGCTAATGATTTACCCATCTGTTATGTGACCCTAACTGATGAAACCTGAAAACAAGATGGGAATAAAGATGGACCCAGAAGTTGCAGAAATGTAAGAAATCTAAGGTGAAAACTCCACAGGTAGATCCTACATACAGAGATATTACAGTGAAATCAGAAACCTGGATTCAAGCCAACCTATATGTTGCCAACCTCTTACTTCTTGTGGCTCAGACCTGTCTGCAGCAAAGGAAGTGTGTGTTTCCTCTCCTTATCCTCAAACCTATGACACCCATTTTTTCAGTGAGAGACAGAACTAAGTGTCTCCTCTTTCAGGGTGATGTAGTCAGCCCTGCAAAAATCTGGGCAAAAATAATTCAAGTTGAGCAGCAACAAATCAGAACTTGCCTTTGAAACTGTCAGTGCTAATGAGCACTTCATTGTTACACCTGCTCTCCAAAACTGACAGCAAAATCCCTGGGTTTGCTCCCAAAGTCAAGACTGCTTTGTGGCAAACAGGCGAGCCTGCTGCCATGCGCCAACCAGCTTATTGTGTTGAGTACATTGCCCATGACAGCACGCTTATTTTCTGTCCTTAGGCTATTGTGCTAGTGTCCCTTGAAAACAACGGACTGAGATCTGTCTACAGCAGAGTGTAATAATATTATTAAAAATATTGGCATAAAGAACACAGGCATGGTAAAAAAAACCAACTATGTAGTAAGCAGATCATAAGAGAAATGCCCTTTAAACAAAATTGCTCACTCTTTTTCTTGTACTATTTTCAAAAGATATTTTCTTTTCTTGAGCACCAACTATGAGGTTGCAGATGAAAGTGAATCTGCCCCTGCTACACTTAACACCCTTTATAGTCATATACTTGCCCCTTCCCCTTGGAAAATGATGTGTGGAATCAGAGTGTTCATCTGGTCTCTTATCTGTGAGCTCATGAAGAAAAGTAGTTTGATTAGAAGCAATGATGGGCAAACTTCAAAAGCTTTGGAGATCATGTTTGGTTCAGATAAGCATCCAAAAGGCTGGCCCCTGATCCAAGCTATCTAAACACCTTGGGTGTCCAACATTTAACTGAAAATCTCTGTTAAAGCTGGTCTTAACCACAAGATTTTTATTTCTGCCCTCTTCCAGATGGATGAAGTAGTGATGCATTTCCTTGTCAGTCTCTGCTACAAGCAAAAGCCAGGGCATGCTGCTTTGTTAATACAAAAAAGAACTGAAACATGAAGGCCTAGAGTTCACTTCAGCTCTCATTTTAATCAAACTTGTTTGAATATCAGAAAAAAGTGGGTATGTTTGTTGCCTGTATTTTACCTCTGCAGAGCTGTTGGCACAAGGCTTGACCATCTCAGCTAGCCTCTGCCCTGATGGAGAGAAGTCAACTGTGTTGGCTTTGCACCACTATATGTATATCACTTTCCACCTCACTCCTTGATGCTCTCACATTGGGAATGTACTGGTGGTGTGGGATTATGACAATTTATTGTCTGTGAAGGCAGAGTTGCCCACAGGAGCTGTACTATCTGTTTTACTGCCAAGTTGCCTTGAGTTGGCAGGCTGGTGTCAAACTGGCAATAGCATTAGAAAGATCTGGGGTTTTTTTCCTCCTATTTGCTCATCTCCAGCTACATGTAAAATATGTCTAGTGAGTTTAGAGATCTTCTTTCATTCTGTCTGCCTGCCTTAGAACAAATCTGCTCATGTATTCATACAAAAAATTTCATCAGCTTCCTTACACACATACTGTACTGCATGGTGAGATGTGTCCCTTAGAACTCGCACTGAAGGAAATTTGTGGACTCTTTAGAGGTAGAAATCGAAAAAATGTTTCAGGTCATCTGAACCACCCGCATAAGCCACATCTAGCCCCAGAGGAAACAGTAGTTTTGTGATCTCTTTGTTCACAAGAAAGACAACGTAGGCAATAGCTATAATTTTTTACCTTGTCCATGCTAGTGAATCTTTTTGCAAAACACTTTAAAAGCGAATCACCTGTAAGCCCCTATAAAATAAACACACAGTGGAGGCTTCCTGCCACCGCTTCAAAACCCTGTATGGTCAAGATTTATGTAGTAGAGAAGAACTGACTTTCACACATAAATAAGTCCCAGTTGTATTTGTTTTGTTGTGCTTAATGAGTTAAAAGGAAACACAAATAATATTGCAAATGTAGGCTGACAATGCAATGTTTACCAGTTCTGACTTAAAACTACTGAGCATAAAGAAGAGGGCACAAGTTTATCAGCCTTGCAAAAATGTCACTTAACCAGATGACCCCTGGGCACATAATCTCAGTCACCTCTTGCCCTATCTCCATAGCTTGCGCCTGCCAGCCAATGGGTTCAGCCAACGCAACTTTCAGCAGAAGCTGGCGATGCCACCCCAAGACGGGATTCTGCTACTGCAAGCCAGGTGTGGCGGGCCCCAACTGCGATAGATGTCTCATGGGCTACTGGGGCTTTGGAGAAAATGGCTGTCGCCCTTGTGACTGTGCCAGAGACTGCGACCAGCATACTGGAAACTGTTTCAATGGGTAAAGAAGCCCTCCTTTGGGTTCACTTTGAGATGGGATTCTGTGAAATGAAACAAAGATTAACTGAAATGCTTCAGCAATGACAGTAATTGGAGGATGCTGGAGGGTGCACAATCATTTGAAAAGGTGGCTGTAAATCATAAAAGGTTTCTTGGATTCCATTTGGTGGCTGGCACACTTTTAAGTAAGTCCATTGTATTATCCAAGGCAATCTTGAAATTATGACTTTTTGCAGTAATAATAGGCAACTCCACAACCCCATGGAAATACGTACAGCATCTTTAAATACACCTGTTTGCCTTGGAAATAGATGGAAGAATCTGGAGAGCTTGCCTCTCATCTGTGCCCAGGGTAAAAAGGAATTACAACGTCTCCCTCTTGTTTCTAGAGGGCAGGTATCTGTACTCCAAACATTTATTAATCAGTATAGAAATCCTGTGATTTGCTGAATATCTGCAGTTTTATGGGTCCTGCAGTTGTCCTCAGTTCCTAGTGACATCAACAAACGGTCACTAACTTTGAGTTACTTAATTCAGTAAAAACAAATAAAAGCAAAAGAGGCCCAATACATAGTTACTTTAAAAATGCTAAGTCAGCAGTGGTAAGGCCTAAATAAAAGCCTAGATCTTGTGATGTCTATATGGCATGAAGTCTTGCTCTTATTTGCACTCCTAACCTGAAGAAAGCAAGCTCATCTGTCTGGATAGAGCCACATGCTACAAATACCTGCTTCCCACCCAACTCATGCCCTAACCAAGTCTTCTGTTTTATGTGTCCCCCCAGCTATGACAATGAGCCATTCTTCAACATCCCCATTGGGGGACGAATCCCTGACCTTGTGCAAACACCAACCAACGAGAGCGAAGAGGAGTGGAAATGGAATGACCATGAGCAGGGATTTTCTGCATTGAGGCATCCAGGTACAGCCCAGAGTCTGGGAGTATTTAGTAACTTCGCTCAGTGCTAATTCTTTCTTCTCTCCACCCTGACTTAAATTCTCCCACTCATCTCTAGCTTGTTTGTCCCCCATCTGCTGGCAACATCTGCTAATCTGAACTATATAGGTTATCATTACACTTACATTGTTATTTTCTAAACCAACTGCACTATCCAACTTTGGTTTTGGAAATCGGTAAGTCATGAATATGATTGTGTGGAAAAAATACTCTCCTTTTGTTGTCATAATTGTAGTCATAACGCTTATGATTTTACACAACTCCTCAAGCATTCAGTTGCTGTTCAGAACTTCAAATGCTATCTGTAAAAAGATCATGTCAGCCATCGCTGAAATGCACTACCTCTGGGGTGGAATGCAAGTTTAAGAGTTAAGATACTCCTCAGGGCACAACAGCTGAGGAAAGTAAAGTATACTGTATCCAGCTAAAGTTACAAAATAAGTAGGCTTATAGAATGAGGTGGAGCCTTTAATACTTCATTAGTTCTCAGTTTTGCTTGCCATGTATGAAGGTCAGCACTTATGAGCATCAATGGCTTTGTAAGACCCAGAGGTAATAGTGCCACCTATTGCATACCTTGATTTTTCTGAGCAGGATATTACCTTAATACCAGCAAGGATCAGCATTTCTTAGCTTATGGGATCAAACAAGGGTATTATTACTTACATGATTTACACCTGGATCTGATTCTTACAAATCTCTTTATTAGTATCAGTTTATTAACTGTACAAAAGACCCCACGAGGGCTGCATTTTACTTGACAGTACTGATCAGATATCAGAACAACTATTGTGTCATCTAACAAGAAACAGATTTCCAAATAACTGAGCTCACTCTCAAACTTACTCTTAAGGTCTATCCAGATTATGGGGGCTATATACATATAACTTTATAACCGAGTACCATTTGCTTTTCTTTTCTCTCTCATGTCCTGGCTCTTCTCCAACCCTTTGTGTTATGTGGTTCCCCTGCTAGAGAAGTGTGTGTGCAAAGAAAAGGTGCTTGGAAGCGTCACTGACTTCTGCCAAATGAAATATGCTTATGGTAAGTGGGTAACATGCCCTCAAGGTATGGTAATTTCACAATGTTCTCACTATGCATGTTATTAGCTGATAGCTATGAAAAATGACAGGACTGCCTAAGTCATGAAATAAGAGGTGGATTTCTTCTGCCTTTTTTGCGTAGTGACATGTCCCAACTTCTGATCAGAACCGAATAGCTTTTTTTATGCAAGGCTCTGTGGTGTCTCCTTTCCACCCAGTTAGCTTCCCTCTACAGCAGCAGGAGTGAAAGAATTGTAACTCAGTGGAATGGTTGGCCTCTGCATCAAGAATAAATGATAAAAACCTTGCATCTAAACTGCCATTGTCTTTGGACCTATTACGCAGGTTCAAATGGCCATGGTTATTTACCAAGAACGTATTTAATACTGTTGTTTATGAACACCTGGTTCACACCATCACGTGAAGCAAGAAAGGAAAGCTCTGGGATCCAAAGTTTTGATGTGCTTGTGTCATGACCCAACAAAGCAGGCTTGTAGGGCTGATCTAGATGAGACTACCCTGCCAAAAAGTTATGGGATCCTATTAAATTAAAGGAACAGAAATTTATCATGGCAACCAGATGTTGGGCCACAAAACAAAAATGCTTTTTCTGGTTTATTGTGCAATCATGGAATTTTAGCCATGTGATATGCCTGCAATCTGATGGGAAACTTCCTGAGTTCCTTCCTGTAGAGCAGGCAGTCCCTTCCCACAGGACAAAATTTTTGAGAGGCCAGCACAAGTTTTCAAACTGCAAAATATAAAGCCTAGTATCAGTGCACTTAAAATCAGACTATTAGCTACTGATCTGTTTTTTTCCACCTTTCCTATGTATACATTCAAGTGCTTTCCTATGATTTCCAACCATTTGACATCAGCCCATTAAAAAGTAGCTGCTAAATAACATGGTGAAAGGATCAGTTAACTACTTCTATAGAAAAAAAATCTAGTTTTTCTTCCCCATATTTATTTAGAAGAACCATGACTGAAGTGGACAAGCATGGGAATACACTTTCTGTACAACTGCAGTATTTTTTCATGTCTTCTTTCAAGGTGTTATAATTCTACATTTTAGCAGCATAAACCAAAATTCATTTAGAAATTCATTGTTGGTCTCTATCTTGATATGTTTTCTGGCAGTGATAAAAGCAAGAATCCTGTCAGCTCATGACAAAGGGACCCACGCGGAGGTTGTTGTGAAAGTGAAGAAGGTCCTGAAATCAGGCAAAGTGAAAATTGCTCGGAGCAACAGAAGCATTTACCCAGAATCCTGGACCAACAGGGGATGTACATGTCCCATTCTCAATCCTGGTAAGGATAAAATGCTTACCAGGTATTCTCCTTCCTCTGTAAACAGTGGTGACAATTCATTATGAACATTAGCTATGGCTACTCAACACTTCCCACCAGTCTTTCTGGGGTAGAGTCCTTTGATTCATCCACACCAATGAGGGAGTCACTACACGGCTGCAGTAAAAAGGCATTTTCTTATCAGAGAACAAAGTTTTACCAAAAAGCCCAAACCTTCTGGAAATGTTTTACTTTCAGTGACTTTATTTGATCTTCCAGAATATTTATGACTAGAAGAGTGTGTGTGAGAAAAAAAAAAATCCCTGTATTTTTATCTCCAAAGAGTTTTTTCTCACATCATGCTTTACTTCTTTTTGAAAAAACTAGACATTATTATGAAAATTTTGGAAAGTGGAGGGAACTTAACTTCTTCTATGCCTTTGTAATGTTTTCAAATAATGAAAAGTAAGTCTTCCTTCCTCCTTCTACTGTAAATTCTAGTGCATTCAATGGTTTGTTCTATCAAAGCCTAAAGCTGACAACCTGCAGCATATTGGAAACCATTCATGGGTGGAGAACATAAAACCAAATGAATTTAATTTCAAACCAAGACAGACATGAAAATCTTTAACAATTAGAAAAATCATTTTTTAAGTAAATAAAGCCCCTCTTTTTATAACCAGTTTAGGATAGGTCTCTAGGTTTGCTCACTAATCACATTCTATCAGAATGATTGATGTTTCTTCACTTTTAATTATGGGAATCTCCCTGCAGCAGTGAAGTAGGGTAGTGCAAAGCATCAACTTTCTCCCCAGCTCTGCTGCAGGCAGAAACATCACACTGTAGACTGCAAAGCTCCCCATACTAGTGCTGAGTAATGTTATCAGTGGCTGTGCAGATACATTCCTCAATTCAGCCTTCCCTACTGCTGCCTCTCCTGCAATACAAATTAGTGGACCACAGAGAGAAGTATGTTTACTTGAACAACAGCTAAAAACTGTAGGTAAATCTCAGAATCCTGCAAATTTGAGCCTGGACTCTATTTTTTCAAGTAGAATCATAGAATCATTTAAGTTGGAAAAGACCTTTAAGATCAAGTCCAGCTGTAAACCTAACCCTGCCAAGTCTACCACTAAACCATGTCCCTAAGTGCCCAAGTAGATGCTAGGTGTCTAAATCTGACAGATCTTGATTGCTCGCAGCTTTTCTTCATATCACTGGAAGTTTCGAGTCTTTGGGACCATGTCCTGGGATCAAATCCCAATAAGACAAAGACTTTAGCTGTCATCAGGGTGACCGGTAGTATATGCCGGCAATCATTATGCAACCGTTCACCACAGAAAATGGTGACTTGTCATAATTCTAAAAGCAGCACCTGATAGAAAAATTACCCTGTTTTTTTTCCTCTGAGTACATTAGAAACATATCCACTGAGTGAAAGGAATTCCTTATGCTTCACTTAAAATGTAAGGTTTAATCTAACCTTTAAGACAAGTTCTCAGTTGAAATTAGCCACATACAGGAGACAGCTGTTTTAGGAAAGGCTGTGTCAAATTAAACTTGGTATGAATTTTTCCTGTTATGACAAAATGACCTGTACTGTCTCAGAAACAAATTTTGTCTTCCATTATCTGTATCAAGTGGAACACTGCATCTGAATTTGCATTGAAGTGTAATATGGACCCTGAGCTCCTTTTTTTGGGATAGTTCTTGAATTCACATATAAATTTTTTGGCTTAATGTAGTCCAAATGAATAAGGTGTTTCCCTTTACTTAAACTCCAGTGGCACAGTTGTGCATAATTAATTATTTACCAGTGCTCCCTGTGAAACTGTGGGAGCCCTTAATCAGACATGAATAAAACATATTGCTTAAATACAATGAGAGTACATCTGATCCCCACACAGATATTTGTATAAGGAAAATATCACAGGACATTCAGATGCTAGAGATGCAGATGTTACGCCGTTGCCTCAATATAAATTAAAGCTATGGACAGGTTCCAGTCACTGTAGTTCTGCAGATTTCAACATACTGCTTGATGGAACCCCTTCCCCAAGATCACAGTATGCCCTGACTCATGGTGGAAACCTTACTTTTTCTCTCTTCTTGGGGCTTTTACACCCACCTTTACCCTCCTTTCTTTATAAGCATGAGCAGTTGCTTCCCAGCAACAGATCAGACTCAAACCTGGTCATCTGTACATGGAGGTGTTAAATTTGTATTCCAGTGGTATGGCCACTGGAACTAACTCAATTTGTAGTTTTAATTCCTGAGCATGATCATATTGAACCTGTGTGCCCAGGAGTCAACACTAACAATATGCAGATGAAAATATGTATACATATAAGATGGCACGTGCATAAACTGTATGAAGCTGGCTAAGATGCTACATGCCAGATCCTTATGAAATAGAGAAATTCTACATTTGGGTTTTTTCTTCTATTTACTGACTGAAGTTTTCCCCCCCCTTTTTTTTTTTTTAAAACTAGGTACTGACTATCTTATAGCAGGCCAGGAAGACTCTAGGTCCAACAAACTCCTTGTGAACATGAACAGCCTGGTGAAACCCTGGAAAGCACATTTGGGAAAACAAGTATCAGATATTCTTCGAACTGGGTGCAAATAATTTCTGCTTCGAAAGTTGCTGAACTTTGCCTTTTAGTAACACTGCAGTGAAAGGTGTTGTTAGTTCATGCATTTCCATTCAACATTCTCCTAGCTGAAGTGAAGAAAGCAGATTTACCATCCTTTCTCCTTTCACGTGCTTAGACAGGAAACTTGGGACATGACTACTTTTTTCAAAAATGCACAGCCTTATCATACAAAATTGTCTAGTGCATCATACATAGGTTACAAAGTTCTTAATTTGAGCCTGATTCCACACACCCAGAGAATCATTTTACAAGGCAAAACTAAAGATATGGATTAGCATTTCCATACTTCAGGTCAGAGCCTGATATTAATATCCATAAGCTGCTTACATAATGCATTCATTACTTGGGTGTAGTTTTCTTTCTAAGTGACCACTAACAGGCAGCAATTTCTTTCAGCTTTATAAGTGGCATAATACTAAACAAGCATGTCAAATAATACTTATTTAAAAGAGCTCAGATTGATTTAACATCAGACTGCAATTATTCCAATATAACAGGTTGCTTTCTAGAAGGCAGTATTATCCCATTGCTGAACAGAAACAAACTAATATGTGACTTATCTTGGGACAAGGTCCTTTATAGATGTACATGGCTATCATCAATGCTTAGTGCTGAGGTCTGCTGCAGAAACCACCTTGACTCAAACTTGATTCCAAATCCAACCCTTGCTCTTTAAGGTCATTTTGCTCTTTGCTGTAGTACATTAGTCTGTAACACCACAAAGGTTTCACAGCGATTACCAGTGAAAAGCCTTAAGGCTAGGAAAGAGCCAAAACATGTGAGGAACTAGCAGCTGCTCTAGTGTTGAGATTGTAACACTACAAAAGCTATAAGGCAGAAGCAGGAGGAGGTAAATGGATTGGCTGGACTGTGTATTAAATGAGGTAGCTATAGCTCCTGTGAGAGTAACCTGGCTATTCAAACTGTGCTCAAGACCACTGGCATTTGATTGCACTTAGCGCTTTCATTCTGCTTTATTTCTCTTGGTCACACTTCAGGTTAAGATATTGAAGTTAGGCTTCCTTCCCATTGTGCCTGAGGATTATTTTTCTCTCCACAATAAGTATAGGAGTGGAAACATCTGCACTCTAGGTAGAATGCTTTTGCAGAACAGAACTGTTTTTTTCTCAATCAATTTTACCCTACCCTATAGTAATTAAGAGGTAGCTATTTAAATCATTCCCTAACACAATATTTTCAGGAAGTTGTAGTTTAAGACCTGCGTCCCCTGTTTAAAGGCTCACAATCAAATGAAGCTGGTTGGAGCACATTCCCTTTTCAAGTAAAGCAGAAATTGTAATGAGTCAGTCTAGTCTTTCAGGGGGTTACAGAGAAAAACACATGCACACATGCTACTTTTGCATAGTTCTATTCCATGTCTATAATTTTTTAATGCGCTCAGGAAAGAGGAGATGTCTTCATTTAGCACTGTGACTGGCACATGGAGTATCTAGAAAAACCTAATAATAATGCAGAATGATGGAAGTCCCAGTCTACAACTTAGGCCATCAGTTTGTTCTCTTTATCACGGGGAACCTGAAAAACCAGCTTCTTTCATTCCATTTGTTGCTGTTTTCCTTTTAACTTCATATTGTTGAATAGCAGAAAAATCCTCAGCTCATTTGGAAATGGATGACAGGCAGGTATTTTCAAAATAAAAGCCCCACTTTTTTTCCCCACAGCGCATAAACATTTCTTCCTCCCCCCCTTTTCAGGAAGTCTCCCCTCCTCCATTGCCATTGCTTTCCCTCTTTCACTTCATTATTTGTTTGTTGTTACCTAAAGCGGTATCCAACAACGTGGCATCTCTAACAAGCCATTTAATTAATGCAATAAAACACTTTTTAACCAAGGAATTTGGCTTAATTTGAAATGTCAGCTTACAGAAATTAAGAGCATAGCAACTGCTTTCTTTAATGTCTCCAGAAATTGTCTCACAACAAAAAGATTGACTAGTTCTCTTTCAAATATCACTAAAAATAAAGATGTGTACGTGAATTTACAGTCTGTTCTCAAAGGGCCTCTCGGAATAAATGAAAAATCAAGTGTAGGTTTAGAACTAAGCTAAGGAACATGCTTTTCAACAGAGGCCATTTTACCTGCAGGCAATCTTATTTAATGATGTTCATATTCCATTTTGGTTTATTGTCACTACCATATTAAAACAAACTCCCATATTCCACTTTTTGAGCCAAATGGTTGATTTTTGTGGGGAGGGTAAACATCTGCATAGTTCCTTTCTGTAGATGAAAATTATTTTTTAACATGGTCATTTACAAGCATTTCTAGCTACTACTGGTAGAAATACTATTTGTAATAAGAATATTGATACCCTGATGTGTTCTCTTGGGGCCTACTATAATACAGTGATTAATGACTACCAAATGCAAACAATGTTGTATGCAAACAAGATAGTCATCAATATATCACACATTTTAGGTATCTCAAAAGTAGGTGATATATACACACACTTTAGAGAAAAGTGTAAAGCAAGTGGAGTGGGGGAACCCCAAAATATTCAGCTGATTTCTTCTCTCCCTTCTAATTTCCCATTCTTTTTGAATCTCTAATTTACTGGCTGGTACCTGTATAGCTAAGTCTACTTCATTCCCTTCATTAGTTAGAAACATTGCACATTTTGCCCCAACTACTAGCTTGTGTTTAATGGTTTTACTCTACAGAGTAGCAGGTATCCCATAAGTCTGGAATTTGAAAGTGAAAAATAAAAGCACATTAGTGTGAGTCAACACTGCAAGTTGACTTTTTATTGGTATCACTACTTCTACTAAACAGGTATCTCTGAGTTCACAGAGAAGAAAAATAAAAGAATAAAGTTCCAACTCACACAGAGCTACCATGTGCAATCTCTTTGTTCTGCAGTGCTACAATCCAGGCAGCCCATCTGAAAATAAGTATCTAAATAGAAATGAACTGCATAGATTAAGTTACAACAGCTGTTGATTAAAGACGAAATGAGGAAGTTTAAATTGATCACCAAGAGACTTTGGAAAAGAACAGTTATTTTCTTGTGTACTGGTACCTGAAATGAAGACAGCATGAAACAGTGCAAGATGACAGCTGTCTTCCTAATAGAAGCTGTTGCATATTCCTCAGAACAAGCAAACAAGGTCATACATAGTAGATTAAAAGAACTAACATAGAAGGTATGGTATTCCATATTTGTACGGTATACAAAAAATAATTGTTTTATAGGCCTGTGTACAATATCACATACCTTGTGATCCTCTCTGTGACTGGGTGTCTTAGGTGGCACAGTAGTACAAAGAATACTAACACAGAAAAAAGGATGCATTTGCCCAATGTGACTGGACAGTGTTAGTACATCTAAAACAGGACCTGTCTTTAAAATGTCCATGTGAACAACCCTGCAGCACCCAAACAGACATGTTGTCTCACAAGCAGTAGCAACCACATACCAAACGGTAGCAATGATGTACCACTTGGAAATCCTGCATAAGGATGAAATAAAAGCCTCGCCCACAAGAAAAGAAGCCTGGAAAGCTGTGGGAAATTTATAATAGGGCAGGTGATAGTTTGAAGCAGATACACATATAACTTTTAACAGATAGCAGCAAACTCAGGATTGCTGGAGGTCAAAGTAGCTCTCTGTAACAGCTGTGCAGCACGTGTATCCATGAATACGTGATCATTCTGGCAATGAGGACCCTTAAACCATCAAAGTAGTTCATTAAATGGCCATTGTGATTGCTAAGCCCTAACTCCAATGTACCGATGTATTGCTACAAATGGCTCTCCAGCTTCTGCTCTTGGCAATCAACTAAGAAGGAAAATGTACCTATGCACAACTTTTGTGCACTGCTCTTCCAAGAGTGGCTCACTGCTATAAAGAGTAAGTTTTCTCTGTAGCATTTACCACGTCTCATAATTTTTCCATGCTGCTTAATGTAAGCTGTCTTTGAGTTGATATAATTCACATGATGTGCTCCCTCAAGTCCCCCAGACTTCAAAAAGTTAGCATGTTGTTATCTGTTGTAGCACTTCCTTTTTTTGTACTAAAACTTCAATTAAAAATACTCAGACACTTATATTGATGTGAGGTTTGGGATCTATTTTTAACATTTTAAACCATGCAATCCTCAAACCACAAGCACATTAATTCTTAAGTTAATAAACCACAAACATTCCAAACATCAGGTTCTTGCTTCAATAGCGTTAGCACAGTCAGGCAAATGGAGAAAAGCATTTAGCTAATAAGGCAACCATGATACATGCTATTTTTCTACTGAGCAATTCACCAAAAAAAAAAGTACATTTGGTATGACATGTACAGATTAGAAACACAAACTGAGTACAGTTAATTTATGTAAATGGCATGTTAATTCAATAACTGATCAAAACCCACTCCTGCAAAATCTTACATGTGGGTACTTGCAGGTGCTTAATTCCCATAATATATACATGAAGTTTTACTGGTTTGAGATCTAATAAGGTCTAAAAAAATACTTAACAAGTCCTAAACCTGCTCCTTTACACACAGTTGATTTGTGGGATGCAAGGTATGAAAATAGAAATGCATGACAGGTAGATGGAAGATGCCATACCTATAAGTGCTCAGAACTAAGATAGAAGTCAGCTTGCGTTGGTCTCCAAGCCAGTGTGTTACAGAGACTTACCCTTGCAACTCTACATTATAGTTGCACTTACTCTTCGGGGTCCTGTACAAGTTCTTACCTTACATGTGTACTTCTATTCAGAAAACTGTACCTCCAAGAGCCAGTCTTCATTCTTCACACATTAATGACATGATAAATATTGCCATCGTTCTTTTGTCTTGCAGCTTAGTGATGAGAAACATTATGATGTACCACTTTCAAATGCACAGGTCTGAGACTTAAAAGAGAATTTTGATCCAGGAAACTGTCCCTGTATATTGGTACTAGATAGTAGCTTTATGTCAGGTGTAGTGCTTTCATGACAAGTAACGTAGGCC